ACAGAAAAGTAATTCCTCTGCTATAACTAAGTCTTTATATACGGCAGATGGGCTATCTCATTAAATGGTGACTCAAATTTTGAAAAGTGGTTCTAAATTGAAAACAATTCTTAAGTAGGGTTGTTGTATGAAGTAGCCTGCGGCATAATCAGAAGAGACTTCAGTCTCGTGATGGTCATGGTTTTATTCGGGATTATTTCCGACCGCCTGCAGTCTATGCTGTAAAGCAATACCACTTAAATAGTATGCTTTTCCCATTAATTTATAATTGGAAAAATTAAGCATCTTTTTAGAAATATGCGCAAAAATATAGTTTCTTGCCCTAATTCGACGACAATCTTCGTCTTCTTAAATATGATACTTGGAAAAAGTGTATCCTCCAGACTTACAATAATTTTAACTATAAATTTAATAAGACTGTGAAATGTCTAATCACTTGACTGATGCTGCTCACAACGTAGACCCCATAGTCCACATCCATTACTAAATTATAGTAACTTTATATGATATCTTCTTACAACCTCATAGAAAAGTATGATTTCCTCATATACTAAGTAGGCAGTTTATAATTTTAAAAGCAGGTGGATCCAAAATTATTTTGAAATCGAAACCGCTTTCAAAACCCTACTGATACCTTTGCCCAGGGATAATATTTGAAAGGGGACAATTTGCTACCAAATCAGCATAAGAAAGAATACCTTTATGCGTTATTGGAACAAAATATATATAAAACTTCATGGGGACCTCGATAATCAATGAGAAATTCCATAATAATTATGCAGTTATTTTTTATGAAGTGTCCGGGGACGTGCATTTTTGCCTCTATCAGAAATAGTGCTGTTTATGCAGGCGGCAGCAAAGAAACTCCTTTAAGAGCCAGCATGATTATAACTATCAGAGCCCTACTTAAGTAAACATTCCGAATTGAAACTACACTCCAGGATTCCAGTCCACATTTCATGATACTACACATTTGCTGTACAAACTTTTTCAGATAAATACGACATTTTCTGACATTTTGGAAATCTAACAGCAGTCATTCAAGCCACCTTGTCTCATAACCTGCTTACTGTGGGATTGGCTCTTGCTAGGCAAATTTCAAAAAACATTGCATGCAGTTTTCCGGTACCATGAATATATAAACTTCATAAGAAGAATAATTACTTTAGAATGGCAGTTTTGTCCGAGTTGGGAAAACTGAATTGCGTTTAATGGTTGTAGGATATCCGGTGAATATGTCTCTTTTGATGTCGAAACGTGCATTTACCGATAACTCACCCTAGTTCCAGATGAATGTAATTGACAAATCGCTCTCCAAACTGTTGCAGAAGACATGCTGTTCTGGAAAATGTTTTTTAGGTTCCGTTTTGACGATGGGAGTTGTAAAAATGACGATCTCGTCGTTTAGTTGTATTCGTTCTGTAATATATGCATTAGAGCGCTGTTATAAAAATTTTAAACATGCATGCGATGCACGATTTCGCTGGCGAAATAGCACTTACTGCATGTGCGTACAGCTTTGTTGTATTCGCAGAAGACTCTATTCTGGTCGAATATTACCACCTGAAAAATGAGACAGGCGTAAGTAGTAGTAATTATTAATTTTAAAATCCATTTAATTATTGTCACATGCTTACATCTTCCTCGCCGTAACACTTCTGCTTCGATATGGCGCACTGAAATTCGGCTTTCGATCCTTCAGTTACATTTCGAATTAGCGGCAGCGAATATTGTGGTTGAATGCAGCCTAAAATGCATGTGAAGTTGCAAATGTTAGATTCCACTTAATAGAGGCTTAGAGTTTAATTGTCTTCACGTAAAAAACGGTCGTTTACCGATTGTGGTTGCCAACCAGTCTCCATTGGGCACAAGGAATTGAGTGATGCGTGCTAGCCTATTCTTCACTTGTATGCCTTCAACCTCCCAAGCGATTCTAAATATTTTGTCGTATCTGCAAAGTTTGGCCTCCGCCAGATAGTTATTTCCCACTAAAATTTTACAAAAAAACAGGAACATTTATAAAAAGGTTTACATAGCGAAGACTAGTATGACTTACGTGCATTATGCTGACGCAGACTATCGATTAAGAGAAAAACACTAATTCGTTGCATGTTTGTACAATTCAGAGTTCTGCATATGCATACATAGACAAGGGGAGTGATCCGAAATAGCAGATTTATAAGGAGAAGGCAGCTATAATTAGTATGGTGCAGAAGAAAAAATATTTATTCTTGCACTTTCTCGCAGCACATTACGTCTTTAAGTGCTATGCTTGATGAAAAGATATAGAGCGCTTCGCAAAATTTTATAGTTGTTAGATTTCAAACGATCCTGGAGTATGTATTCAGAGAACATCCCATCTGCTTGCCTATTACAGCTGCTTATAGCTCATGTTTATTACAAAATGTTATAAGCCTCAAATAACAATGGATGCGGACCATGTTATTCATTTCATGAGGAGCAGTGGTAATCGGCCAGGTAGGATGCTATGTGAATTGACATTTCGCGGTCTTAAATAGTCTCATAATTGGAAACTTTTCTAAAACCTAATTATAACTTTTCCTTAAGTATAAAATATAAAGAAGACGTGATTCTCTATTGATTGCCTAAAAGAAAGCATATTTTTATTTATGGTTTCTATAAAATATATTGGAATTTGCAGGACCATTGAAAATCAATGGGAAAAATATATGCTACCTATGTAGTCATTTTTTACCGAGTACGCTTTCTGCAGGAGATTAAAAAGAAGTGCATTTAAAAGCCGACATCCTGCCAAGTCCGAATTTTTATAAGAGTATGTCTTAAGATAATCAGTATTACAACCGCGACCAAGTAATCCTTCCCAATCGAAAACGCATTTCAGAATTTTAGCCAACATTTCATGAGATAGGTCACTCACTGTATATATAAACATATATATCTATTCAATCAGGAATGGGATCACAACAAACCTATTGGCTTTCTGAAGCAAACGAGCTACGTATGATGGCAAAGCTCCCGAACAGACATCCAACTACCAGACCGAGGATGGCCAAGTCATCATAGCAACGACGCGGTAGGACAGTGAATGCAGGAAGATTGATACAGCACCGTTTCGGGTTTACTTTGCCCTCATTCATCCAATCATGACCCTGACCAGCAGCCGGGAGCAGAAACCCAAACATGCGCACTCACACACCTGCCGCAGTTTGTCCATCACTGGGGTCTACCTTATGGGTTACATGCACTTCACCGAACCGAAGTCCATTAGGGCCTCACACCTGTCATTCTCTGTCGCTGCATATATACATATAATACGCAAGCGATAGTGTTGAACAGAATACGTACCTTTTTCCTGTTTGTATTCAAACGAAAGGTAGTCGTCGCCATCAGATGTACATCTTTTTCCATCACAGGTCAGGGGCCGCGAGTCCACATTTATCTTCTGGAAGAAGAATATGTTTGGCAGGTAAATAAAATTCAGTTTTTCTTCTATCGTGCAGCGCCTTTCAGTATATCATAACTAAAGCTTGGTTGATACGTCTTTTATTAAGGTGCAAAATACTTTGTGCTAACAGTAGGTATGCTAACTAACTAAACCATACTAGGCAATACTGACATTTATGAACTGATTAATGTGTCTAAATTACAGCGGTTGTTTGGCAGTACAATCACACTGGCTCATGCTACGATCAAGTTTCTAGCGCGCACATTAACATGTAAACCGTAGGTCGGCGACAACAATGCTTCAAGCCAACACTATGCATATGAAGCTGCCTTATATGACAGCTGAGAATGCATATTACCGTCGCTTTTTCCGGTAGTTTCGAAACAATCGACACACACTTGTCCGCGGAGGAGACGATGTTATCCTCACGTCCATTGGACGACCAATTTGGTGGCAGAGTTGGTGGCTCTAAAAATAATGTAAATGAATTTTGTCAACTATAGATTCATGTCCAGTTGCAACAAGTATTATCATCCAGATATGATGAATATCCATGAGTACTTTTTATGAGGAACGTAGTTGAGAATGAGAAAATGCAGGAGTCTATAATTTTTTTTCTAGTCCACACTTCTATTTTTCACTGTCTGCTTGGTAAAAATGATTTTGTATCTAAACCGGCATATTCATCCCCTTGATATTACTAATTAATCGGAGCGAAACCGAGGTTAGCTACTAGTTAATCGTCAATAGGCATAGGCGTCTCTAAAATATTTGGGCGCCTATTGCGTTACATAACCGATACTCCATATGCATGTATGTGTACATATAAAAATGTGCAATTTTCTTCTTAAACACGCACAACAAATTTCAATCCCGCTGACGTAAGCGCAAATGTTAAAATTTAGAGGAAAACAGTTCATGCGTGCCATACAGACTATATCTACAAAAGCTGCAACACATGCACGCGTACGCCTTATCCACTACTGTCTCCCACCACGGATAGTCAGAAATACCACACGAATAAAACCCTCCTTCATCGTCCGCATCTAACAGTGCATTACTATTGCATGACAACATGTTTCAGAGTGCACAAATGCAGTTGAATTTCATGAGTCTGGATTGATTCTAGAGGATACAGTTATTCAATGTAAATTTGCTTCATTCTGGAGTAAGCTCAGTTCAATCGACAACCCACCTGTGTTCCAAACAAGTTTCACTGACACGTCGCTTCCTCTACTGTTGCAGAACACATAATGATCCGGAAAGTATTTGCTTGAGTAGACCCTGGAAATTGTCGCCGTAAAAACTATTGTGTCGGCATCAACCTGTCGTCTTTCTGGAAGATGAGTACAGGACCTGTTACCTTACTTGTAAAACTTACAAAAAGGATAACATGCAATAATTGTGATTTAAGTGCAAGTCAACGTCTGTGAGTCGTTTCTTACCACATGTACGCACAGCTCTGTTGTATTCACAGAAGACTGTATCCTGGTCGAATATTACCACCTGTAAAGGAAAAAGGAACAGACATGATATTTAGAAGATACAAGTCGTAGACTTCAATCGGTTATTGTTACACACGTACATCTTCCTGGTAGTAACAGTTCCTTTTCGATATGGCGCACTGAACTTGAGTGGTGGATCCTGCGTTGACATTTCGTATTAATGGCATCGAGTATTGGGGCTGGATACAACCTGAAAGACGGGGCATATGAGTGCCAGGCAATTGCTTTCTCAATGCTCTTCAAATTGCTAAACGGGGTTGCTTACCGATTCTACTTGCCGACCAGTCTCCATTGGGCACAAGGAATTGTGTAAAACGCGTGAGCCTGTTCCCCACTTGAAAGCCCTCCACCTCCCAGGCAATTCTAAAGATCTTGTCATATCTGCAGATTTTGGCCTCTGCCTGGTAGTATTTTCCAACTGAAATTTTACAGCATTGAGTTGCTTATAAAAAGCTTACATTCGACAGAACGTTGGGAACTGGAAATAGTGGCATTGTTCACTGAAAAGGACTGCAACAAATCCTTAGTGATTTGAAGGCGGAAATAGGACAAATGTGCGAAAATGAGATCTTTTGACAACATACATGACTGCACAGATGTGGATGTTCATTCTTATGCATGCGACAAGCCGCCGTTCTAAAAGTACTACTAAAATCACTTAAGTAGCGCTTGTGTTGTGCATATGATGGAATCTCTGTCATTGAAATTCATACTACAGCAGTACCCAAATGTTTATTGTTTTTTTTCTCAAACTTTCGCTGTTTTCGCAGTAGGAATTAAATCCGTGTTGTCACCCCATTGCGAAAGCAAATGAAACATCAGGAATTCATAAAATACCTACATTGCTAAAGCCCATTTGAGGCATGAAATCTACCCTATGTAAACAAACTACTTTAGTATTACAATGTCATTGTGTCCACAATTATACAGAAAAATTATGTTCCCGTACATAAAGCGGGTGACCTATCTCATGAGGTGTTAACGAAAAATCTGATATGCTTTTTCGAAAGGATTACTCAAGTGCGGTTGTAACACTAATTACCCTGCAACACACTCCCAAAACATGGAAGTCTCTCCAGAATTAAACCTTTTGAATGCTCTTCTTTGCAGCTAACTGCAAAACTACACTTTACGAAAGAGTGAGTATGCGAGCATTAGGATTTTTCCCATTGATGTTTGACACATCTAAAAATTTCACGAGGTAGGTTACTTATGAATGTCCGCAGCTTACGGGTTAACTTGATCTTCCTCTCTGGACCGAGCTTTAGACTACAGTGGCTCTTTCTAAATGCGGCCTTTATGGTACTCCCATTCAGTTGGTATTCGAATCGCCACCCCTTTGCCCGTTGTGCGAGATCCTGGTCTTTTGTGAGCGAGGCATGACACATAGCGACACGTCTAGTTCCTGGTTCACACCGCGTCAGCAACATGTGCCCCGCCTCACCTCCGGTCTTTTTGACTTTGTCATAACATCAACTTCAGGCAAGAGAGCAGGAGAAATTGCAGTAGATGCATTGCAAGTCTACTATCAAACTCACCTAGCTTATCCACTAGTAACCACCCCTGAACCCACCCTTCTCTAGAGCGACGCGTGGATGTCGTCGGAATCGACGTTTAAATCTCAAACAGAAAAAGCGCCATCAATAATCTGCAACCGGTGTCCATACCGTGAGCTTGTTACAACCACTGTCATATGCATTCATACGAGCATTAGCACTGCATTTTCATAGAACACGCATTACGTTATTGATCCGCATATTCTGATTAACTTGGAGGGATATATTCATTAGGCATTTTCATAGAACGCGCATTACGTTAGTGATCTGCATATTTTGATTTACTTGGAGGGAAATATTCTTTAGGACCTTATGGCTGACGGTCAGAAGGCGTGTGATTGGCAGCCGATAATAAGCACCTTCATCAATGATTTGAGATTTCACGAGAAACGTTACGAGTATTAGATTGGCACAAAATTGTCAGGCTTCGAATGCATAATTCTGCTTAAACGAGTGCAGATTAAGGTATACAAAAATAAAACATCCGAAGAAATAAACCTTTCCTGTGTCATGTAATATGACACTCGACTCTTTCTTTTGTGTTAACTAGTGATCTTCTGTGAGGACAACAGATCGTACCTTTTTCTTGTTTGTATTCAAATTTAAGATAGTCGTCTCCCCGAGCTCTGCAGCGTCCGTCGCCACATGATAGGCTGCGTGAATCCACGCGTATATTCTGAAAGAGGAATAAATGTTAATCTGGATAACGTGCATCCGCGTATCGCAGGGCATCCGAGTGAAGTACAGTTAAATATTCGTTGTCGCCCTGGTTCTCAAGGAATAAGTAAATTTGTGTTACTAATTAGAATACCAAGTCAGCTGTCAACACAAAGAAAGGCATTATTGCTTTTAAACCCAAGAGATGGTAGACATGTGTCAGTGGACGCTACGAGACACCCGCCTTATGCATTCTAATTATCAAGGAAAGAATAGCGGTGCAAAGAGCAATAAAGTTTGTTTGCGCACATACATACTTCAACATTAAAAACCAACTAAGAAATAAGTATTCTGATCGGAAGGCCATGTGTAAGGCACGCTTTCAAAGTACCGCAATCTGCATATTACCGTTAGTTTCTCTGGTAGGCTAGAAACGACCGTGACGCACTTGTCCGTAGAGGTAACAACGTTATCTTCAAGTCCATTGGACGGTCTGTTGCTTGGCCCAGTGGCGGATACTAGACCGGGACATGGGATAGCAAAAGGTTACTTCTCGCTTTTTTGTAGGAAGAAACATCAATTCGTATTTGTAAATGTCGACTATCTGTGGTTCACCCCTATGATGTCGGATCCTATTTCTGTCCACAGAGTTTACAGCCTCTTTACGCGAACACTACTAGAATGCACAGGCCTAGTCTATATATTATCACATATATTATCATTATGAGAAGTAACGCATTTTCTATGTACAACTAATTACCGTTTCCTAAAAAGTTTGTTTATGCGCTGTTTTACAAAGCTGGGACTGTAATTCAGAGATTCATCGTTGTCCATGATGATAGTATGTTTACGGGATACCCTATTCCTTATTTTGAACATACACAAATTTACAGGCTTTTCAATGACATTTACTATCAAGCTGAACGAAGAACTATGAATTGTCATCGTATTTTCTTATTAAGTATATATGCAGCAACTATATATGTATAGCTTAAATTTAATGTTGTTGAGAAGTTTAATAAGCCTAAAATTCTGCTTGTAAACGTGAAGTAGGTGAACTTGACTTTTTATATTAATCAGAATTGAGGATTTGTACAGCGATATGTCCGCAAAGTATTTTTTAGTAAATTGCCATCAGCAATGTTGGCTTAGTGGTTATCACCCTTAAGCAATTCTTGCGTTCTAGAACTGAGTAAAAATGTTGATGATCTATTCACCGGCTCTAACAAACAGATATATCAGCTTGTGAGGTAATACTAATTTCTAGAGTTAATGACTTGCTTTCGTTTAAGGTTCCTTCTAATAACAGTCAAAGTGCCAGATATGTTATTTTGTAAGCGCATGAATACCAAAACACTAAGTCTTTTACACCATGCCGTAGCAACCCGTCAGTGTCGGCGGGAAATCTGCTAGGGATTGATGTTAGGAATGTTATGCAGATACCACACATACCGAAAGTAGCCGTCAAGTATAGCAGGGCAGCCCGAAGTAGGATTGACGATGAAGGCCTCATATTTGTCGAGACTTGATGTCCACTTGCTGAACCTGAGCAGATCAGCCCTATATATACACACACAGTGTACAAGCATTTCATTGGCTACTGCTGTTAATTTAGTGGTGTTTGGTTGGTTGGGAGGAAGCATTCAAATTAATGCTCAACCTCAAAGTTATTAAGTACATCCTTCTAATAGAATAGCTGAGAAAGAACAGTTTGCGAAAATGTTCTCATTTATCTTTGCAAACATTTTCAAAGTTTAATTTGTGCTTAAATTTGCCGCACTACTTAATTCTGACGAAATTTAAAGCGATTCGTTTATGCTAGTAAGTGTCCCCAATACAGATTTTTCCTTGAGAAATCACGTTACAATCGCTTCCTGAATTCTACAAATCCAGCATTTGCTTTATTCGTAGCCGAGCGTATGCAAAGTAATATTAACTATTGAGGTAGAGGGAATGTGGGATCCCAGCCTTTGAGACATCATGGAGGAAATTCTGCCTAGAAGCCATATTTGGATGTTGTACCTTAATGATTGTGCGCTATATTAGTTGAAGCAAAAGGTAACATAGAGAATTTCTCTTTGTGAATGGTATGTCTGGCTGAAGGACTGTGAAATGACTGGTTCCTACTGGTAAACGTGGTACCAATGACTAATTGGTGATATTGAATGTTTTTTTGTTATACGAACATTGCCAACTTCGAATTTACCTTTCATACTTTAGCCATGCCAGGACATCAGCGTTTAAACGAACTGCTTACTGGTCACTCGTAAAGATAACTTCTACGTTGGCAGGCGTTTTTTGATCGGTTTCCCATGTCATTATGAATGCAAATACATTTTACAACAAACGAAAAGCCCACGTCTATCCTCGTTTGCAATCATTCGGTGGCAAATGACATTTTTTTCAAATTTTTGCCTAGAAGGAATGACACCTTTCTGCTTAAAACGTCAATAATTGTGGCACTTTTATGCCCGTAAATTGTTTGCTCTAGGAGTAATACCATGTGTGCAAAATTTAATGATACCTGTTTGTCATCTTATTAACATCGATGAGAAATGTATAGTAAAGTATGTCATGTAAATTTACGCCACATGCAGTTTGTAAACCCTAGGCCCAAGTGCGCATGTACATACGGTTCAATATCAAACGAGAAATGGAAAAATTTCTAAGAGAAAAAATCCCCTTCCTTTAAAATAACCTTTATAGAAGACACTACATGATACCTAATGAGTAAAAAATGACTGTTTTGTGCATGTTTTCTTAAAAGTTCATCTGAATTTATAAGGACATCGAAAGACAGCGGATAAAATGCATGTTATATGAATAATTATTTATTATTTATTGTGACTTTGGATGACCAGGAAGGCATTCGTTCAAAAGTCAGCATCCTGGGGGTAAATAAATCACGGCAGTCAATATTTCAAAATCAGCCAAATTACCCTTTAAATCGTAAGCACATTTCAGAAGTCCGATTATCATTTCAATAGCTGAACTGAATAGAATTCGTTTTAAATTACTCCGTCTATTTCAGCATGCTTTACAATACGATTTCAGAGGGGAAAAATCACAGAACGCTAAAACCGCGAATGATGCAGGTAGATTATTATATGGTTTTAAAATGCAATGTTCGCGCACGTTGTACATACATGACGAAAAGTATTACCAGAAAGGAGAACTAAGGTAGGTATTAGCTTATTTGAAGCGATATTGTAGACATCATCCATAGCCAGTTAAGAGACAAACAGAGTAGTTTTTCATGCGGTAAATACTACTTAAGGAGAAAACACTGTGGGAACTAATCGACCAATAATTAACCCCTGTCTTTGCAAATGTAACTTAGGTATTCTGATGTGGTGCTGGGTCCCATGCGATCTTAAAGGGCAAATATTCGATGTTGGGCCTAAAAGTCTAAGCGTCTGCTATGCCAGGATCACCAGGCTGGGGCCATCGCATTCTAGTATGCGCTGGCTGTTCTCTGGCGTCTGAGTTACAGCCGGTAGAGGCGCTGCGCTCCCGTTGGGTATGCAGGTCCCGAGCACGGCTGTCCAGTCAACCTCGTTCCTTCTGACCCGTAGTGGTACAGTTGTTATTGGCTAAAATTCTGATCATTTCTCGTGTGGACCAGTAGGTATGATGTGGAGCGTCAAGATGCGGACTCGGCCGCACCCTGCACCTGTGCCCTCTCCAGTCTCCGGTCGTCTTGACTCGGTCTCGATACCGGGATGAGGTGGGAAAGGAGGGGAGAGTGCGGTAAATGCAGCGCAAGTCTACACTCACAGTGTCTGCTGCACCTTGGTGTGTAGCGCATGGTGGACATCGCAGGACACAACGATCAGACCGTCACGTGTCACGTGTCACGTGACATCAGCGTCTGGAAGCAGGCCTCATTTATTGCTAAGCCTCTGTGGTCAGATTGTGCATAAAGCCGTTCTTGGGTTGCGCTATCAACCATCCAGAGCAAAACATCGTGCACACCACGTTTTACGGACGGCACATAATTATTCTGATATTTGGGAAACTGTGCATACAACTCGATTTCTATAAATAATCACATTTTCAAATCAATTTCGCAACCATGTTAGTGTATATACATGTCGAGATTTGGCGGAATCGCACATAGGCCGGTCACATTTGCGTACAAAGAAGTAAATTAAATGCAGGCGTTCACTTATGGTAAAAACCATGAACGCTCTGTGTCACGCGTTTGTTGGTGCAGCCAACCTGCCAAACTAAAAGATGAGGAAGTTTCATCCGAGTGCTAGCTATTTACCTCGCGGTTTAACGGCATAGCTAGGAGATATATTTGCGATCAGGACAGATCTCGATTTTTATTTAGGATTAGGTTGGCGTGCTCATTTTAAATAATGAAAGATGGGAATGATAAAACTGCGAACTGCCACGAGGTAAGTTGCTGTTGCCTTTGTTAAACACATACATTCTGGACATTGTCAAGAAGTGGTCGAAGTAATTTTGCCTTTTGTCTTGTATGCTCTCGGGAGTAGTAGAAACGGGTGTTGATGTTTCAAGAAAGATTGCCAGTAAATTTATGGGGAGTCCCAATTACCAGACGTTTCATTTACTCCGATTGTTTGCCAAAGTTGACTGAACACGCTTTCTGCTTTCGGCCAGTCAACAGACTTGTTCGATGGACACATGCTCGTGTTTACATAACGGCATACAAGATTTTCTGACCTAGATGCTGAGATTTTAAGGAAATAAGGATTTTTTTACAAAATTTAAATTCAAGAAATTATAAAGCAAGATTGACACACTGTCACACATCCAAATATGTATACTTAATTTTAAAAACTAATATTTGGCATCCATTATGCGCTGCCGCAGAGACTCAGTGGTGCCATTTTCGAAACTGCCTCCATTCTACTGTCCCGGGCGAACATGCTCTCAATGTCAGAAATGGTTTTTCGACAACAACTCAGAGGCCAACGGTTTACTGGTCGAGCATGTCATGCTACACAGTGCTCAAATCAACCGCAGATCCGAAGCAACCATTTCCGTAATCCTCAGATGACATTACCTTGTGCAGTAAACGCTGCATTCGATTAAAAATAAGCATATGCATGGCATCGTGGAGGAAGTCCAAGGATAAGCGGACCATGACGATATGAAGAGTATTGTCATCCCTACCTTCCTCCGACCAAAGAACCCTAAGGCTTCACAGTTCCCAGGAAATAACACTTCTCGAGGGGAGATCGCAGAGGCAGAAGCGCTCTTCTGAGAACCACAGAATTGTCCTCAATTGCCCATCCCCGATCCGTTCAGCTCCACCAAATGGGAGCAATCAATCAAGACCGTGAAACATGCACCCAGCCATCGGACTTAATCATCTTTGAAGTCTACAGACAGGATTTAACCTAGCACCTGGATAAACTCAAACTGCCGTTCCGAGAAATGCGGTAGCAAGGACAACGACGTGACAGTCGTTAACCTCAAATAGCGGTAAGATACCTGCTAAGTCAGTAATAGTCACAGACGAATTTTGCTCTTAAACATCGCTAGAAAGATCTGAGCTTGCATCATTCTCAGTGGTTTTAGAGGACATTTGGAAATCGAACCTTACCGCAAAGCCAGGGAAACTTCCCTCGACGCTGCGAAACCAATGACAGGACCTTGCTGCCTACCAGTGACAAGATAGGCGCCAGAAAATGTGGGCCTTCATCCGTATGAAATTCGCAAACACGAGAAAATCTCATGGCAATTTAAATCGCAACGGTCCCTGGAAATTGAGTCAAAACTTCGGCTGTCATTAACGACTCACGTGCATTCAAAAGTCGTCATCTCGATTTAGCAAAATTATCTTGAAGTGGTTCTGAGTGAAGTCGCATAGTATGAACCCAATCGTGAGGTCTTTATACATTGAGAAGAGCACTTCAGGACTTTGGTCAATATTTCACGGGACTGGTAACCTACTTTAATTTTTAGGTAACAAACATTCGGAAATCAACGATTCGCTTCTGAACCCTTAAATTATGGAATGCCAATTCCGGTATGCATTCCCAAATGTAAACCGGGGCTTTGGCATTATTAAGCGAATGCACGAACCACCCACTTAACTGGCAGAATTCAAATCAGTCTTCAGGAGTCTATGGTTGTACACGTTGCTATCAATATCCCATGAGGACTTTATAACTGAAAACGTGATTCTGAGGAGGTATTCGACTGCAATTTTAATTTCAGTGAAAGATTTCACTTTGCTTCAACCAGCTCATTGTAAATCAGTGGTTATGGGAAAAGGCAAGTAGAGCGTCGTTAGGAACGTGTGGCTTCAAAGCGTGTCATAAAGTGCTCCCTGCAAATACAAAAACAGACCTGCAATGGGGGCACAGCGATTAGTAGAGCGCTACCAGATGGATCAAATGATTTAGTTCAATTTCCAAGGAACGCCTTCTATCTTAGCATGGGGGTTTTATTGCCTAAATCTCTGTCTTGTGCTTCAAGCGCCGGTAACGGACCAAATGAGCTGGAGGATGAAATCAGGCTAATTGGCTGACCTGATTTACACCATAATTTATCGCTGAACGAGGGTCTCTATGGCCCTGTTCCGGATCAGCTCAGGGACGCACTCCGATCTAAGGCATTGCGCCAGAACAATTACTGACGTGCAGACGCTAGCCCTACCCAACCCGCAGCCCACTTTGCATGTTATCTTTTTCTTCTCGATGCTAGTGCTAGGAAATAAGCCACCGCAATTTTACAGTAGCATTATGTGCCGCCGATCGGCGAAGCAGTGTCCAGTGACGTAAACTAATTTGCTTTGCTTTTTGGGAAAGTCAGTGTACTGCCTTTGGCATGAGGCCACAACCCAAAGTAGCCTCTAAAGACACTGAAAAATGGTGTTTACTGCCCATCAACAACTTTCTTGTAGTGACTGACAACCTGGACCGACTGGCCGATCTATCATCGCATAAACTAGCAATACTTCATACAGACGTCTACTATTCTACGACCACTCTATACTTCTGTGCATCCGACAATTATGTGATTGTTCCTCACGTACACTGTGATAACGCATGGCCTTAAAACAATCACGCCAATAACTACCTCCCATTAATTTGAAACCTAATAATCGAAAGGTGAAGGCAGTTTGACTGGACTGAGGGGAGTAGCGTGTTTCCGTAATCTTTCCGAACATGCAGCATCGCCTGCTTGAGGTAGTAGAAGCCACCTGTGTGTGAGATTGCCGTCAGTTTGAACACACTTCTTCGCGGTAGTCTGCCCTGCGACAGCGAAGTAACTTAAAAGTTTTGCTCAGTGACTACGACACCGTTTAGCTATTAGAGGAAACTACTTCACATTAAAGTGAGATCCATCCAACAAATTGACAGCTAAAATGACCTACTGGGACACTCCGCAGTCTCTCAGTAGGGGCATACATATTGCGAGATTTGGCGAAACTGCACATAGGCTAGTCAAATTCGCGTACAAAGAGGTAAATTAAAAGCAGACGTTCGCTTATTTAAAATAAATGTATGCTATGCGTCCGGTATTTGTAGGTACAGCCAACATGCCAAACTAAGAGATGAGGAATTTTCTTTTGAGTGCTTGCTATTTCCCTCCCAGTTTAACGGCCTAGCTAGAAGACACATTTGCGATCATGACGGATCTCGATTTTTATCTAGGATCAGGTCGGCGTGCTCACTTTGAATACTGAAAGAATAGAATGACAAAACTGTGAACTTCCAATATGTAAGTTGTTGTTGCGTTTGTTAAACACATACATTCTGGACATTGCCAAGAAGTGGTTGCGTTGCTTTTGTCTTTAGTGTTGTATGTACTCGGGAGTAACAGAAACGGGTGTTGATCTTTGCAGAAAGATTGACGGGACATTTATGGGGATTCCCAATTACCGGACACTTCTTTTTACTCCGATTGTTTACGTTAGTTGACTGAACACGCTTTCTTCGGACGGTCAATCAACACGGGCGTTTGATGGACACATGTTTGTTTTCGCATAACGGCATACAATATGTTCTGACTTAAATGCCGACATTTTAAAGAAATAAGCATGTTTTGACAAAATCGAAACTCGAGATATTCTAAAGCACCTTTGTCATACATTCTCATACCCAAATGTGTATATTTAATTTTAAAAACTAATATTCAACATTCATTATGTGCTGCCGCGAAGACTCATTGGGGCTACTTTCGGAAAGGCCACCATTCCACTATCCCGGGTGCGCATGATGTCAAGGCCGGAAACGGAAGTTCGACAACAGCGCAGAGGCCAACGGTTTATTCGTCGAGTAGGACATGCTACACTGTGACCAACTCAACCGCAGAATCGAAGCAACCGAAGCCGTGATCCTCAGATTTCGCCAGCTTGTGCAGAAGACGCTGCATTAGATTAAAAATGAGGAGATGCATTGCATCGTGGAGGAAATCCGAGGATGCGCGGACCATGACGATATGAAGAGTATTGTTACCCCTCCCTTCCTCCAACCAAAGAACCCGAAGGCTTCCCAGTCCTGAGGAACTAACACTTATCGAAGGAGGATCGCAGTGTCTGGAGCCCTGGACTGAGCACGGCAGAACCGTCCTCATCCGCGATCCGCCCATCCGCGATCCGACGCCGGCTCCCCAAATGGAGGCGAACAATCAGAACCGCGCGACAAACACCCCAGCGACAGAGCACCGGGAGTGGACGCAATCATCTTTCAAGTCTACAAACAGGGTTGAACTTAGCATCCGGAGAAACCAAAATTCCTCTTCCAAGAAATGCGATAGCAATGACAAGGTCGTGACGGTCGTTCAACTTCAGAAGTGGTAATATAACTGGGAAGTCTGTGATAGGCACTCACAAATTTCGGTCTAATACCTTGCCAGAAAGATTTGAGCTTGCATCATTCTCAGTAGACTTAAATGACATTTGGAATAAGAAGTTAACCGAAAAGCCAGTGAAACTTCCCACGACGCTGCGAAACCTGACGCAGAACTTTTGTTTCCTATCAGTAACAAGATAGGCGGCAGAAAATGCGGACCCCCATTCGTCTCAGATTTGAAAACCTGACAAAAGCTTGTGGCAAGACAAATCGCGATGGTCTCTGGAAAGGTATTCAAAACTTTGGCTGTCCTGACCGACTCACGTGCATTCAACAGTCGGCATCTCGATATAAGTTAACTATCTTGAGATGGCTCTGAGTGAAATTTAATAGTACGAAACCAATAAGGAAGTACTTTTACATTGAAAAAAAAACACTTCAGTATTTTGGTTAATATTTTAGGAGACTGGTCAGCGACTGTGCCCTTTTGGTAGCGAACGTTCGGAAATCAACGCTTCTTAAATTTCAGAATGTCAATTTAGGCATGCATTCCGAAATGTAAACCTGGGCTTGGGCTTCACTCTTGATTGACAGAATTCAAATCAGCCTGCCGGAGTCCATGGTTGTACGCGTTGATATCAATATCCCATAAGGACTTTATCACCGAAAACCGGATTCTGTGGAGGAATTCAGCTGCAATATTAATTTCAGTGAAAGATGTGACTTCGATAAAACCAATTAATTGCCAACTTATTGCTTATGGAACAAGGCAAGCAGAGTATCGTTAGGGTGTCATGAACTATTCCCCACAAATAAAAAACACATCTAAAACGGGGTCACGGAGTTTAGTAAAACGCTATCAGATTGATTAAATTATTTTTGTCCAACATCCAGAGCACGAAATCTGGCTTACCATAGCGATTTTATTGCCTGACTATCCCCCTTATGTTTCAAGCGACGGTAAAGGACCACATGATCTGGAGGATGAAATCAGGCTAATTGGCTGACCTAAGTTCCACTATAATCTATCGCTGAACGTGCGTATCTATAGCCCTGTTCCGGATCGGCTGAGGGACGCATTCTAATCTGAGGCATTGCACCAGAACGACTACTGACGTGCATGCGCAAGCCCACTCCAACCCTCAATCTACTTTGCATGTTATCTTTCTCTTCGCTATGCTTATACTAGGAAATAAACATCTGCAATTGTACAGTAGCGTTGTGTGCTGCCGATCGGCCAAGCAGTGTCAGTGCACACCAGGCTTCACGGATGTAATATTTTATTCCATAAGGGACGAAAACTATTTTGTCCTGCCGTTTGGAAAAGTCGGTGTACTGCCGATGACATGAAGCCACAAAATATAGTAGCCACTAAAGACGTCCCGCAATCTATTCAACCAAATAATGATGTTAACTTCCCATCAACACACTTCGCGTACTGACTGATAACCTGGATCGACTGGCCGGTCTATCATAACATAAGCTGGTAATTTTACCGATTGGCGTCCACTATTCCGCGGCCACCCTGTACTTCTGTGTGTCCGACAGTTCTTTGATTGTTCCTCAGGTAAACTGTGATAAGGCATGGTCTGAAACAATCGCGAGACAGATAATCTGATTCTGATGAGGCATACACCCGCAATTTTAATTTCAGTGGAAGATTTGACTTAGCTAAAACTAGTTAATTGCCAACTTAATGCTCAGGTAAAAAGGAAAGTAGAGCATCGTTGGAGTCGTTTGGCTTCAAAGCGGGTCACGAACTGCTTCCTACAAATACGAAAACAGACCTGAAATTGGGTCACGGAGGTTGGTAAAGCGCTACCGTGTGGATCAAATTATGTACTCCAACTTCCAAAGCACGCCTTCCGGCCTATTATGCTGATTTTGTCGCCTAAATATTTGCGTTGCTTTTCAAGCGCCGGTAACGGACCAAATGGGCTGGAGGATGAAGTCAGGCTAATTGGCTGACCTGATTTGCACCATAATCTATCGTTGAACATGAGTCTCTATGGCCCTGTTCCGGATCAGCTGAGGGACGCACCCTGATCTGAGGCATTGCGCAAGAACGACTACTGACGTGCATGCGCGAGCCCTCCCCAACCCTCAGCCTATTTTGCATGCTGTCTTTTCATTCGCGGAAATAAACCCCTGCAATTTTACAGTAGCACTGTGTACTGCCGATCGGTCAAACAGTGCCCATGCCCATGTCCGATCACGCCAATCACTACCTCCCATTAATTCGAAACCTGACAATCGAAAGTTGAAGGCAGTTGGACCGGGTTGAGGGGCTGATAGGTTTCTGTCAATTCAAACACTTTTTTTCGCCGGATCCAGCCGTCGAACAACGAAGTAACTTGAACGTTTTGCTCAATGATTAAAGAATCTTTTTGCATTTTTATCCGGCTACAGTACAATCTAGCTATTGGCAGAAACAATTTCACATTCTACTGAAATCCATCCCACATACTGACAGCTAAAAAGGACATACCCAGACATTCCACAGTCTCTTAGTAAGGACGGAACGTGGCTTTGAGTTTAAGCACGGAAATATGGATGGTGAATTACAGGCGGCCTTATCCAACATTCCAGGGAATTAAGGAATCGGTTAAGAAGGGTAGGGACATGGTTGTGTTTAGAAGGGTCTGGGTGAAGCCTAGGCATATTAGCGGTGTGGCCGGAGTTAACACAAGGTGGGTTAAGATTAAATTGTTTGTAAACGTGGATAGGCGTCCTTCCTGAAATTGGAAACGAGGCCACCCATAGCGCTGAGGCGTCCACTATTCTGCGGCTACCCTATACTTATGTGTGTCTGACAATTATTCGATTGTTCCTCAGGTAAACTGTGATAACGCATGGCCTGTACCAATCGCGAGGCTTGTTCCACGATCACGCCAGTCATTAACTCCCATTAATTCGAAGGCGGACAATCAAAAGATGAAGGCAGTCGGACTGGACTGAAGGAAGCAGCGTGCACCCGTAATCCTTTCGAAAATTGAGCATCCCCTGTTTGTGATAATAAAAGCTACCTGTGGGTGAGGATGCCGTCAGTTTGAATACATTTTCCGCGATATCCTGCCGTCGGACAGCGAAGTACATTAGGTGATCTAAGTCGAGAAATGTTGACCGAATTTCCGAAATGCGTTTTCTTTTCGAAAAGATTAATTGACCGGTGCTAAATAAGCGGCCGCAGGTCTTCCATCACGGCTACCTTACTTACTATTGTTTGCTCAGTAGGTGTGCTTGTGGTATTTTTTTTTGCCGCCGCGCCGCACCAATCAGCAATCATCCATGGTTGGGTTTCCAACATCGCCAGCTCCTTCTTTGACCGGCTAGTAACGGCCACAGGCATCGTCGGTAGGCCTGGAGAGTAAGTGGATGAAGTTCAGAGTCATACATTCCAGTCTTCCGTCTGAGCCTTCGTTGTTTAGCTTCTCCTATCGTACATGGTTGGCTCTCTTCAACCTACTGCTCCCTCTTCGACCGGCCAGTAACGCCGACGGTTGGCTTTCTTTAATAGACAACTTCCCCTTCGACCGGCCATTCACGGCCACCGGCATCGTAGGTAGCCTAAAAGAGTAAGTGGACGAAGTACAGAGTCATACCTTGCAGTCTTCTGTCGGCGCCGTCATCGGTTGGCTTCTCCAAACGTCCACGGTTGGCTCTCCACAATCGACAGCCCCCGCTATGACCGGCCAGTAGCGGCCAGAGGCACTGCAGCTAGGCATGTTTAGTAAGTGTACGAAGTATAGAATCATACCTATCAGTCTTCTGTCGGCGCCGTCATTGGCTGGCTGCCCCAATCGTTGACGGTTGCCTCCTCTCAATCGACATCTCCTTCTATGACCTGGCCCGTAACGGCCATATGCTCTGCATTTAGGCATGGAGAGTAAGTGGTCGCAGTACAGAGTCATACCTTCTAGTCTTCCATCTGTGTTTTCGTTGTTTAGCTTCTCCAACCGTCAATGGTTGCCTCTCTTCAACCTTCTGTTCCATCTTTGACCGGCCAGTAACGGCAATAGGCACTGTAGGCAGCCAGGGAGAGTAAGTGGACGACGTACAGAGTCATACCTTCCAGTCTTCCGTCGGCGCCGTCATTGGTTGGCTTCTCCAAGCGTACATGGTTGGCTCTCCACAATCGACAGCCCCCGCTATGACCGGCCAGTAGCGGCCAGAGGCACTGCAGCTAGGCATGTTTAGTAAGTGTACGAAGTATAGAATCATACCTATCAGTCTTCTGTCGGCGCCGTCATTGGCTGGCTGCCCCAATCGTTGACGGTTGCCTCCTCTCAATCGACATCTCCTTCTATGACCTGGCCCGTAACGGCCATATGCTCTGCATTTAGGCATGGAGAGTAAGTGGTCGCAGTACAGAGTCATACCTTCTAGTCTTCCATCTGTGTTTTCGTTGTTAAGCTTCTCCAACCGTCAATGGTTGCCTCTCTTCAACCTTCTGTTCCATCTTTGACCGGCCAGTAACGGCAATAGGCACTGTAGGCAGCCAGGGAGAGTAAGTGGACGACGTACAGAGTCATACCTTCCAGTCGTCCGTCGGCGCCGTCATTGGTTGGCTTCTCCAAGCGTACATGGTTGGCTCTCCACAATCGACAGCTCCCGCTATGACCGGCCAGTAACGGCCATAGGCACTGCATCTAGGCATGTAGAGTAAGTGTACGAAGTACAGAGTCATACCTTCCAGTCTTCTGTCCGCGCCTTCATTGGTTGGCTTCCCCAATCGTCAATGGTTGGCATTCCACAATAGACAGCTCCTTCTATCATCCGGCTAGTAACGGCCAGAGGCTCTGCACGTAGGCGTGGAGAGTAAGTGGACGTAGTACAGAGTCATACCTTCTACTACTCCGTCTGCGTCTTCGTTGGTTAGCATCTCCAATTGCCGACGGTTGGCTCGCCTTAATCGACAGCTCCCTCTATGACCGGCCAGTAACGGCCACAGGCACTGCCGGCAGGCATGGAGAGTAAGTGGACGAAGTACACAATAATACCTTCCATTCTTCCGTCCGCGCCCTCATTGGTTGGCTTCCCCAATCCTCCATGGTTGGCTCTCCACAATCGAGAGATCCCTCTGTGACCGGCCAGTAACGGCTAGAGGCTCTGCACGTAGGCATGGAGAGTACGTGGGCGAAATACAGAGTCATACCTTCCGGTTTTCTATCTGCGTCTTCGTTGTTTAGCTTCTCCAATCGTCAATGGCTGCCTCTCTTCAACCTACTGTTCCGTCTTCGACCGGCCAGTAACGGTAATAGGCACCGTAGGTAGCCAGGGAGATTATGCGGACGAAGTACAGAGTCATACCTTCACGTCTTCTGTCCGCGCCTTCATTGGTTGGCTTCCCCAATCGTCCACGGTTGGTTCTCCACATTCGACAGTTCCTTCTATGACCGGCTAGTAACGGCCAGAGGCTCTGCACGTAGGCATGTGGAGAAAGTGGGCGAAAAACAGAGTCATACCTTCCAGTTTTCTATCTGCGTCCTGGTTGTTTACCTTCTCCATTCGTCAATGGCGGCCTCTCTTCAACCTACTGTTCCGTCTTTGACCGGCCAGTAAAGGAAATAGGCATTGTAGGCAGCCAGGGAGAGTAAGTGGACGAAGTACAGAGTCATACCTTCCAGTCTTCTGTCGGCGCCGTCATTGGTTGGCTTCCCCAATCGTCAATGTTTGGTTCCCCACAATCGACAGCTCTCTCTTTGACCGGCCAGTAACGGCTACAAGTACCGTAGGTAGGCATGGAGAGTAAGTGCACGAAGTCCAGAGTCCTACCTTTCCGTCTTCTGTCCGCGCCTTCATTTGTTAACTACCCCAATCGTAAATAGTTTGCTCTCCACATTCGACAGCTCCTTCTATGTCCGCCTAGTAACGGCCAAAGGCTCTGCACGTAGGCCGGGAGAGTAAGTGGATGAAGTACACAGTCATACCTTCCAGTCTTCCGTCCACGCCTTCATTGGTTGACTTCCCCATTCGTCCATGGTTGGCTCTCCACAATCGACATCTCCCTCTATGACCGGCCAGTAACGTCCAGAGGCTCCGCACGTAGGCATCGAGAGTAAGTGGACAAAGTACACAGTCATACCTTCCACTTCTACGTCTGCGTCTTCGTTGGTTAGCATCCCAATTGTCGACGGCCGGCTCTCATTAATCGACAGCTCCCTCTTTGACCGGCCAGTAATGGCCACAGGCACTGTAGGAAGGCATGGAGAGTAAGTGGGCGACATACAGAGTCATACCTTCCAGTTTACCATGCGAGCCTTCCTTGGTTGGCTTACCCAATCGTCCATGGTTGGCTCTCCGCAATTGAGAGATCCCTCTATGACCGGCCAGTAACGGCCAGAGGCTCTGCACGTAGGCATGGAGTGTAAGTGGACGAAGTACACAGTCATACCTTCCAGCCTTCCGTTCGCTCTCATTGCTTGGCTTCCCCAATCGTCCATGGTTGGCTCTCCACAATCGAGAGATCATACTATGACTGGCCAGTAATGGCCATAGGCTCTGCACGTAGGCATGGAGAGTAAGTGGGCGAAATACAGAGTCCTATCTTCCAGTTTTCCATCTGCGTCTTCGTTGTTTAGCTTCTCCAATGGTCATTGGCTGCCTCTCTTCAACCTACTCTTCCGTCTTCGACCGGCCAGTAACGGAAATACGCACCGTAGGTAGTCAGGGAGAGTAAGTGGACGAACTACAGACTCATACTTTCCAGTCTTCTGTCCGCGCCTTCATTGGTTGGCTTCCCCAATCGTCAATGGTCTGCACTCCATAATCAACAGCTCCTTCTATGACCGGCTAGTAACGGCAAGAGGCTCCGCACGTACGTATGGAGAGTAAGTGGACGAAGTACACAGTCATACCTTCCAGTCTTCCATTCGCGCCTTCCTTGGTTGGCTTCCCCAATCGTCAATGGTTGGCTCTCCTCAATCGACAGCCCCCCCTATGACCGGCCAGCATCGGCCAGAGGCACTGCAGCTAGGCATGCCCAGTAAGTGTACGAAGTACAGCGTCATACCTTCCAGTCTTCCGTCCGCGCCCTCATTGGTTGGCTTCCCCAATTGCCGACGGTTGCCTCTCCTCAATCAACATCTCCCTCTATCACCGGCCAGTAACGGCCAGAGGCTCTGCACGTAGGCATGGAGAGTAAGTGGGCGAAATACAGAGTCATACCTTCCAGTTTTCTATCTGCGTCTTCGTTGTTTAGCTTCTCCAATCATCAATGGCTGCCACTCTTCAACCTACTGTTCCGTCTTCGACCGGCCAGTAACGGAAATAGGCACTGTAGGTAGCCAGGGAGAGTAAGTGTAGGAAGTACAGAGTCATACCTTCAAGTCTTCTGTCCGCGCCTTCATTGGTTGGCTTCCCCCAATCGTCCACGGTCGGCTCTCCACAATCGACAGCCCCCGCTATGACCGGCTAGTGATGACCAGAGGCTCTGTACGTAGGCATGGAAAGTAAGTTGACGAGGTACAGAGTCATACCTTCCTCTCCTCCGTTAGCGTCTTCGTTGGTTAGCATCTCCAATTGTCGACGGTCGGCTCTCATCAATCGCCATGACCCTCTTTAACCGGCCGGTAACATCAACAATCACTGTCGGTAGGCTAGGAGTGCAAATGGAGGACTTAACGATGCTTACCTTCACGTCTTCCGTCCGCGCCTTCGTTCGTTATCTAGCCCAATCGCCGTTAGGTTGGGTCTTCTCGCACACCGCCTCCACCATCGTCAGCAGGTAATAGTCACAATGACTGCCGCTAGGCATAGAGAGCAAATGCAGTACGTAAATATGCTTACCTTTACGATATCCGTCTGCAAATTCGTCGGATGGTGGGGGTTATGTAGAGGTTGACACCCGCTGTATTGTACACTTCCACAGTTCTCCATCTAGATCCCCACCGACTGCTGGTGGCGTAGATGCCGTCCTCCGCGGGTTATACCGACAGCCGCGGATGAAATACAAGCTCTCCTGCAGTCCGCAGGCCTCGTTCAGTATCTGCAGCGGTCGACGTTGCTGGTCACCACCATAGCATGCCGATGTCAGCGTACTGTGCAGATGCAACTGCTGCCGCACATACGGACGATTATGCATTCCGTTGTGGACACTGTCGACGGAGGCGATGCACGTTGACGCAGTCACTGTTCGTTGGCAGCAAGCTCAGTCTACAACCACTGCTACGTATACGTAACACGTTTGTCGACAATGTGCGCGGCAAGCGCTGTGCAGCAAGTGTACGTCTCAGTCCAAATACTGCCTTGGAATGCAAGTACCGACAGACAAGACGCTCACCAGTCACCGCAAGTACAACAGCGAACGATCGCGGTGCCCGTTGTGGGTCGTCGGTATATACGCAGCGAAAAGCCCTATTTGAGTCGATTAAAAACTTCCGCTGGGAGGTCCTCGGACCCGTCGTAACGAAGTGGTTGGTTGCCCGTATTATTATTGTAACCGATGAGCGTAAGCATTACACCCACATACCGTCCTAAGGTTATGCATAATACACCGTCAACCATAGCAGGACTGTCGAGAATCCCCCAATCGGTCAGCATACGAACGCCACAGCGGCCTATTGGAGAAGATTAAAGAGGAACCTGTATGAGTCTGGCCTTGTCTGCGGCACAACAGTGTTGGGTCCACCGAGATGAGGTTCAGTACCGCCTCCGGTTCGACCTAAGCGGCGGCAATATGGCAGTCTCCCGGTAACATTTCCTACGACATTGGGCAGCGGCGCATCCAATTGAATGCGGTCGTTACATGCGACCACACGGACTGTAGATAGCAAGCAGACTACATGGAGGAGGTAGGGAGACTTACCTTCACGACTTCCTTATGCGCCTTCATTGGTTAAATTATCTATTTGCCGTTGGTTGCATCTCCTTCATCGCCAGCAGATAACGGCCACATTCACTGCAGTTAGTCATGTATACCTAATGGACGACGCACATAAGCTAGCCTTCACGTCTTCGGTCTGTGCTTCCGTAGGCCAGCTTAACTAATCGCCGTTTGCTGGCTTTCCTCAATCGTCAGCACTTCCACCACCATCCATTAAACGGCCTTATTCTCCGTATGCAGGCATTGAGACTTAATGGAGGAGTTACGCAGACTTACCTTAACGTCTGCCGTCTGCGGCTCCGTTGGTTAGCTTACCTAATCGTCGTCGGTTGGTTCTCCTTCATCACCAGCTCTCTCATCGCCATCCAGTAAACGGCCACATTCGCCGTATGCAAGCATTGTGACTTAGTGGAGGCAGTATGCCGACTTACCTTCATGTCTTCCGTCGGTGGCTTCGTTGATTAGCTTTCCCAATCGCCGTTTGCAGGCTCTCCTCAATCGCCATCTTTCCCATCGTCAGTATCTAACCGTTGCATTAATTGGAGGTAGCCATGGAGAGTAAATGGAGGAAGTACAGAGACTTACATTCACGTCTTATCTATGCGCCTCAGTTAGATATCTTACCCAGTCACCGTTCGTTGGCTCTCTTCTATTGGATACGCTGCTGCCCAATGTCGTAGGAAAGTTTCCCAGGAGGCTGCCATGTTGTCAGTCCTTAGGTCAAACCATAAGCGGTACTGAACCTCATCTAGGTGGGCCCACACTGCTCTGCCACAGACAGGTCCAGACTCTTGCAGCTTCCTCTTTAACCTGCTCCAGTAGGCTTCAATGGCGTTCGTATGCCGTCCCGTTGTGGGATTCACGAAGCCCCTACGGTGGTTGACAGTGTAGTGCGTATAACCTTCCGACGGTAGGCGGGTGTAACCCTTCCACTCATCCGTTACGATAACACTACCAGTAGCCACCCACTTCCTTATGACGGGCCTTAGAGCCTCCCAGCTGCGGTTGTTAATCTGCTCAAACAAGGCTTTCCGCCTGCGTGTGTCGTACATACCAACGACCCACAACTGCCGTCGCGGCCGTCCCCTGTTATACTTGCGGCGACTTATGAGCGTCTCGTCTATCTGTACTTCCACGCCGGGTCCCCCAATTTGGGTTACGGCGGATAGAAGTGCGTGTGAACAAGCCCCCCGGCAAATGCCATACCATTCCATGGCCGTATTTCTA